AACACATTACATAAACCACTCACCTCGACAATGAGAGCCCTTAAAATAAATTGGCAAGACAAGCCATTTACCTATCTCGTCCAAAATCAAATTTCCTTACATCTCTCTCTCTCTCTCTCTCATGCATTGCCATGCATTCTGTTTAAACAAGTTAAGGGAATGGTTTCTATTTATAGTAGCAAAAGGCAGCAACTAATGGTTTTTGATTGGTGGAATGTAGGTTTGGTGATATACTTCACTTCCTAAATTATCCTACTTTCTCCTAATGCCAACAGCTCATGCTCAAGCATTTGTGAAGAAACTAGAGTGGTAAATATCTTTGTACGTGGCATCATCTTATATCAAACAAATAGGTATTTTTATAATAGTATTATCATAAAGGTAACAACTATGTGGTCAAGCAATTATATAATTAACTATAACCCATATAAATATATAATCAATTTAAACGAAATTTTTAACTTATAAGCAAAACATTTGATTTTCAAATATATATATATATATATATTAAAAATACGGGGTTTCACACATAGCTTGTGAAGGATCTTGGTGAGAACTAAGACAAGGAACAGAGGCAGAAAGCTTGGAACAATGATTGCTAGGCCTCCCAAACAAGTTGTTGATGCTCTTTTTCGGAGAGGGTCAACTTAGAGAAAAAGGGATTTGCCTTCAGCAGGGAAAGGGTCTGGGCCTTCAATAAGGGCTAGCCTGCAGAAGACAAAAATAGGGGAAGCAGTCGTCAAGCTCCGGGCACCGGTGTGGTGCCGGCCGAAGGCTCTCCGATGCTTAAGTCAGCTAAGAAGGGTAACTTTTGCAGAGTAATAGTAAAAGGCAGAAAAGTAGTTACCCCTCTTACTAGGGTACTGTTCCCTTTTTATAGGGAAGTGAAAGTGGGAGGTTGGTGTAGATTTCCGATGTGGGACTCTGTGCAAGTCGCAGCGGTGGTGACACGTGTCATGAGAATTAGGTTACCATTGCATTTACAAGAATACGTACCAATTTTACATCTTCAAGGTCCACCATTACCTTAACCATGTAATAGAGATAATTTTATTGTAATTTATGAGATTACAAATTTATGGATACACTTTATAAGTTTATGGAACATGGAGGTCCAAATTATTGTAAAAGAGGTATGTAATACTATAAACCCTTGTGTTTATAAGAACAAGGACCACATTTACAATGTTAAAGTCTACTCTTACCTTATCATTGTAAGAGGGATCCTTTCAATTGTAAATCAGGATATTACAACGCTATGGATAAGGAAGAACCTCAAAATTGTAATCATGGTGCAAAAAATCATAAATGAGAACCCAAATCTTGTAATGTACGAGATTAAGGATCTGCGTTGAGAGTTTATGGAGAGCTTACGTCCAAAGCATTGTAATACGATTCCTTAATGTTATAAACCATTGCATTTACAAGAATAAGTACCAATTTTACATCTCTAAGGTCCATAATTACCTTAACCATGTAATAGAGATCCTTTCTATTGTAATTTATGATATTACAAGTTTATGGAACATGGAGGTCCAAAACATTGTAAAAGAGGTCCTTAATATTGTAAACCCTTGTGTTTACAAGAATAAGGACCAAATTTATTCCACCAAGGTCCACTCTTACCCTATTCTTATACAAGGGTGTAAATTATGGTATTACGAGATTAAGGATGGCTTTTACAATGTAATGGAACAACTATGTCCATTTTAGTATAATACGATTCCTTAATGTTGTAACCATCACCTTGTTTACAAGAATAATGACTCAATTTACTACTCCAAGGTTCATTCTTACCTTAACATTGTATTGGGGGTCATTATGAGTTTTGTAAATTACGATATTACAAGATTGAGGATCTCTTTTATAACTTTATGGAACCCCTATGTCCATAACAATATAACGGAAGTCCTATATGTTGTAAACTCCCTTGTTTACAATGACAAAGACCAAGTTTATTCCACGAAGGTCTACTCTTACCCTATTCTTATACAAGTATAAGGACCCAATTTACTTTCCTAATGCCTCAAGTTACCTTAATATTGTACTATATGTATTTATCTTTGTAAATTACGATATTACAATATTAAGGATGGTTTTTATACTCTTATGGAACACACATGTTTAACATAGAGTAATACGAGACCCTAATATTGTAAATGTTTGTGTTTATAAGTATAAGGACCCAATTTACCTTCCGAATGTCTTTTACTGTTAGTCAATTGCAATTTTGAACTTACTATTTGTCAATTGCATTATTCAATTTCAATTTCCCACTAACTATTTATCAATTGCATACAAGTCCTTACTATTGTAAACCCTTTGGTTTACAAGGATAAGGACCTAATTTACTTCTCTGATATCCCACCTTCCCTTTATAAATTTATTTTATTAATTTTAATATATTTTAAATACATGTCTACAACATATTTACAAAGGCCAAAAATCACTTTTTTTTTTGCCAAAAAAAAAACTTATTCACTTTAGGGTTACAAAAGCATTAGGAATGGGAAGTGAAGTCATGTGGAAAACAAAGTCATTCGGTAATTGATGGTAAAACACGCTCTTTTTTTAGTATCAATGGCAATTGCCAAACAAGAGACAAATTTCCCATTGTCATTTAAAAATGAGATTTGACTTAACAAAAAAGAGCTTAACAATAAAAGTTAATATGTGAAAATCTAATGCTTCATACCTTTATTTATGTGGATCTGTATGACCTAATATTTTCTATTAACTTGTATTTATTTTACCCTTAATCAATTCAAATGTTTATTTTGGAAAATAAACTTGTCCAATTGCATAGTTCAATTTTCTTTTGTATTTTCATAATAAACATATAAAGCATTGGACTACTGTGATTGTCAATTGCACGACTGGAATGCAAATAGGACTACTTTGATTGTCAATTGCACGACTGGAATGCAAATGGCACTACCTGTTTGTCAATTTCATTAACAAATCACATATTGTATTTATATTTTCAATTAATTGTGCACAGATAATGGCAATTGCGCGATTGGAAGGCAAATGAGACTGCTTTGTTTATCAATAGCATGACTAGAATGCAAATGACATTACCTGTTTGTCAATTGCATTGACAAACCACATATTGTATTTACATTCTAACGATATGTAAATTGAAAAGGCTACCAATAACATGACAATATGCATACACTGATTGTAAAAACGGACTAACCAATTGCTAATTGGATTCAAAAATGACATACTGAAGTACCTATTGCATTTTCATTACAAAAATGCAAGGCAACAAATATAATGTCGCATACTCTAATTGCAATAACAGACTAGTCAGTTGGTAATTGCATTCTGAAAATGCAAAAAGGTTGCCAATTATATGCTAAGTTACGTACGCCAACTACAAAAAACCCCTCACAATTTGGTAATTACACGCCTAAATATTATATCAAACTTCAATATAATACAACAATTCCGATGAAGATGAACTCAATGTCAGAGCTCATAATATCATTACAATTAAGAAATTCTACCTAATGCTAAATATTAATTATATTGGGTGTCTTGTCTGTCAAAAAAAAAAAATCTCAAATCACAATGGGTTTCTTTTCAGCAAAAAAAACTCACATCCAATACAAATAAATATTCAGCACTAAAAAATGTTAGGGAAATAAACCAAATGATCTAATATCCAGTAAGTCACTTGAAAGCTCGACTTTCCTTGATGAGCCTAAGATTGCCTTTTTTGTATGAGCCACAATAATCACATCTAGTTGCTAAAATGTAAATGTATGAATTAAAGAGTTAATTAATGCACATGGAACTAAGACTAAGCAGAATTCAGATAATAGATGATGCCTTAAATAATCTATAATGTTTAATAACATATATAATGATGAAAATTTAAAACTCACATACATGAAGGGTAGACAATCCTAGGATAGTAAGCATGAGAGAGGAGGTAATAAACAGGGCTTCCTATGTAGATGTACACATAATGAATGAAAATCAAGCAATTCATAGAAAAAAAAAAAAGACTTAAGAATGACATCATAGCACATTCAGGAATCCAAATATGAAAACAAGATGCAACTTGTAGACACAAGAACCAACTCAGAAAAATAAAAAAAATCAATTGGAAAAGAAAAAAAAAACCCAAAAATGATGAATGCAGCAGTAAACTCAAAATTAAACTAACATTACCAAATCTACATCTAGTTCAACACTAATATGAAATCCTCACCTTGTCTCCAAATTAATGATTCAAATACAAATTAAAAAGTTGAAAACCTGCAGAGACCATAGCCCAATATTAAAACCTAAAACTTACAATATAAATTAGAAAACTCAAACCTTGAATAATTAAAATTATCTTCAGTTTAACAAAATTGAAATCCTAAACTTTCTATCACTCACAAATTTGTGCCCACCCACGTTTGGTGCTCGTATCTATGAGAGAGAGAGAGAGAGAGAGAGAGAGAGAGAGAGAGAGAGAGCAAGCCAAAGCTATAGAGAAAGAGAATCGAGTGAGGGAGGGAGAGTGAAGGCTGAAACGATTGAGAGAGAGAGAGAGAGAGAGAGAGAGAGAGAGACAACAGGGATCGAGCTAAATGGGGGTTTCAATTGGGCCTCAGATTTTTGGTATGGGTTTGGTTTTGAAATGAAGCCTAGGAAGGAGATTGAGAGACCATGAGATGTAGAGATGAGAGAGACAATTAGGGAGAAGAAAGAGAGAGATACCTGAGAGGTAGGGCTTGTCACTGGGCCGGGCCGGGCTTTAAAGAGGAGAGAGAAAATACAAGGCCGGGCTGAGTTTTTTTAGAAAATTCAAAGCCCAAGCCCAACCCATAAGTTGGGCTTGAGAAAGCCTATCGGGCCAGGCCGGGCTAAGCCCAACGGGCCTACTTCATTACTACTTCACAAAAAAAAATTCATAAACTTAATCACAAGGGCATTTTAGTCCAAATTTGAGATTAAACTCACTTAATTCCAATATTTTCACATCAAACCAAATTCATAAAACACCCAATAAAGTCACACAACTTAATAAGATTTTTCACAAAAATAATAAAACCAAGTATTATTTTTTAGGTTATTACATAATTAGACCGTAATATGTTTTAAGAAATAATTTTAAAAAATAATAAGTATCAAAAAAATATTTTTTTTTTTTAAGGATGGTATGAATAAATATGCAAATATTTGGTGATGTGTTCAAGAAAAGCATGATTATATTTGGTGGTACAATTATGTTTCGTGATTAAAGTAAATGAAATGAAACAAATTATATATGTGATTTAAGTGATATAATCCTAAACCTAAACTCTTATTTATACATAATTATATATGTATGCAGGCCTAACGGGCCGGGCTTTGTGGGCGGGCCGGGCCGGGCTTTCTTGGGCTTAATCGGGGGGGCCTAGGGCTGGGCCTGGCTTTAGACACCCAAGCCCAAGTCTAGTCCGGCCCAAGGCGGGCTGGGCCATCTCAAAGCCCATAACGGGCCGGGTCGAGCTTTTTTTCAATGGATCGGGTGGGCCCCCATCGGCCCATGAGCCAACGGGCCAAATGATGAGGCCTACTGAGAGGAGAGGAGTTGTGTTCGTCGCACTGTCTCGTCGTCACAGGAGGAGGAGAGGAGCGATTTTGGAAGGAGTCGAACTGGAAGAGAGAGAAAAGAGAAACCCAATGCTACTGAAGGAGAGTTTTTGTTTTTGTTTTCTTTTACCTATAGCAACAAGCTAACCGGTAACCAACAAGCAGCGGTTTGGATTACTTTACATGCCCAAACTACTCATCCAACGGTCATAAGAAGTGGTGCATCCATAGGCCAAGCGTACCGTAGAATTTTCCTTGAATATTCAAGGATGATGTGGATGCAGCAAGTGAGGTTGAAAACTTTTACATCAAGTATTAATGCCAATATCGACTTTTAAAAAAAGAGGAAATGTCCCCTTTTTTTAACTTAGAACTTTTTTTAATTAAAAAAGAGAGAGGACATTTCCTCTTTTTTTAAAAAAACAAATATTTTCTTTAAACCTTGGACCAATTGAGAAACTGAAGGCGCATGGGTCCGGAAGGACGGCTTAGGGGTATTGGGGTCTGTAAGGTCAACTCAAGCGCAAGCGCCCAAAAAAGCAGAAGTCATGGACACCTTGGACCACATGAGAAACCGAAGGCGCACAGGTCCGGAAGGACGGCTCAGGGGTATTTTGAGAAATCGAAGGAGCATGGGTCCAGAAGGTTAGCTCAAGCGTATTGGGATCCGGAAGGTTAGCTCAAGCGCACCTAGGAAAGAAACAAAAAAAGAGTCATGGACACCTGGGATCATTTAAGAAACCAAAACCACATGGGTCCGAAAAGATTGCTCAGGGGTATTGGGGTCCACACAGTCAGCTCAAGCACAAGCACACCCAGCTGGGGTCCATCTGGGATCGGTTAACAAAGAGAAAGCAAGGAGCATGGGGCCCACCGGATCGGCTGAAACCTAAAACCAAGCGCACCCCAACTGGGGTCCATCTCCTAAATTAATTGATTCTAAGGAAGTACCAGAAACTCAAAAAACTTACTTTTAAGCTCTCCATGGAAAGCGTGGGTGGTGAGCTTTCGCATTTTTGCCCATTTTTCACCTTCTGCTGTTGTCACAAGTCCATCTCCTAAGAGCTTCTTCAAAAAGCTTTCGGGCTCTCTTTTGCAATAAGCTTTGTCTTTGTTATTCAGTATCTCTTTGCATAACTCAGGCTCCGTGATGACCAATTGAGCCTTAGAACCATGCCACTGAAGATAGTTCTTCCCTGTTGATAAATAAATATGACCAAAATTTAACTTGGAACTCAGATTCCAAAACAATAATTAAGTAATTAAGACCGTTTGTTTGTTACCATATATCTTGGTCCATGAGTGAACGTGAGGTTGAACTACATAAAGTACGTCGTGGGACGGACTAAAACTCTTAGGCTTGCTCATGGCTTCCTTGATTATGTTGGAGATGTCCTCGGTGTTGCCATGGACAAGTCTGTAAGGAGGGCCTTTGATGCCCTGCAAGGCCATCAGATTCTGCAAGCGAGCCGGAGCCCACCATAGTTTGTGAAGGATCTTGGTGACAACTAAGACAAGGAACAGAGGCAGAAAGCTTGAAACAATGTTTGCTAGGCATCCCAAACAAGTCATTTTTGGTATTGTCTTTCTCTGAACATATGGGGTTTTAAACCGTCCACAGTTATGGAAGTATATTCTTGCTCTGTGTTCTTTGAACGAATTATTAAAAGGCCACTTTGGACCCTTCTACCACATCACATATATTCGAATGACATCCTATTTTTGTCACCAATGACAATGGCATTGCCATATTATTAAATTAAATTCGCAAAAACTTTCAATAAAATTTCCAACTTAACAGGAACAGAGAGTAAAGCTGCATACATAGAGAAGACAGTTGAAGGAAAATAACGTTATATGATTAATCTTGCAAAACTTTCTCTTTATCACCACACCGCATTTTTCTTTCAAGACTTTTCTCAACTTGACAAGAGACTAGAGCTTCCCTATGAAAATTTTGCTTTGAAAAGTAGTGAATAACCTCTCATCTGGTCAACTTTGTACACATAGAGAGATAGACAGCTTCATATGTTTCTTGCTGCAGCAGCTGTCAGGCATAGCAAATTATGTCCACCAGTTTCTGTGATTACCTGTCTTGGATGGATAAGATGTATTAAGTGACTTTTATTAAGTGACTTTTGTAAGACAAGAAAAAGCCGCTCGTTTAGAGCATTTCCAACCTAGGCTCCAAAAACAACTTCCACTCAAGGAAAAATTGTCATGGCAAGAAGTGGGTCATGAAATTGGGCAAGCCCAAAGGCAAAACTTGTCTGGGCTACTCGCTGGGCAAGTTGACGTTTGTTGAGGCCCAAAAAATCCAAGATTGAGCCCAAATATATTTCTAGCCCAATACGACACCTAACTTGGGAAGAAACTCAACTTGGGTATGCAAGAGTTCATCATATACGCTTACACATGTGTCACGCCAAGCAAATAAGCAACACACCACACTACAAGCTTAAGTGGGCTCAAGCCACGCGAATGTCTGGGGCTTGCTAAGCGGGTTGTGGTATAGATGGTTACGAGTTTTCATGAAACCTATTGATGAGCCGAGAAATAGAACTTTTGGGCTGCTTGAGAGCCTCAAAACTCAAGTTCATTTCTTTAGTCCAAATATGTGGGTAAGCATAAAGAAGAGAAAATAGCTCAATACTTTAGGAAAAATAGTCCAATACTCTAGGAAATTAGCTCATTCCCTTAATGGTTAACCCATCACCTTAGAAAGGCCCAAGCAACCAAGGAAATATCTGCAGCCTCCAACACTTAGCTGGAAACAAAGGCCACACAAAAGCCAAGGATTATTCATGTATGCAGGTTGCTGAGAGTCTCCAGCACATGGCCAAGAAATAAACCCAAGGCAAACCACTCGAAGAATCAAAGGATATTAGCGCACGCAACACCCTTCAAACCAACGTTGTTACCCATCTCTGTCTCCTACCAACTCTTGCCATGAATATGGGAGGAAAAAAAGAGAGATAGTAACCAAAGATAAGAGATTACCATTGGAACAGTTGCGGGAAGGCTCTATAGCCTCCAAAAATCTTGTCTTTGAGTGCTTGAACTAAGAAAGATTTCACAAAGTAGGGATAAATCAAAGGAAGAGAAGAGAAAGGGAGAGAGCGACTTGGCAGATTGGGGAGGAACCATCTAGGGTTTCTTGCGAAGAAGGAGCTTCCAGCGCCTATAAAAAAAAAGGCATTTCCTACCCATCATCACAACCTACATTCAGAGAGCAAGCTTCATCTCTCATCTCTGAAATCTCTACAATTTCGAGCTCTATTCCTCCATCTCCTCCCATTTTCTTTTCTAGTAGATAGTTCCAGAGCTTAACAAAGCTTTTATCAAGCTGCTGAAAACTACTTAACACACTCATTATCCCCCTAATCTCTCTCTCTTCAACGAACCCTCTTAGAATCCCTTCCTCCTTGCCTTAAACCCCCTGTTTTTTATAGGAACTCACAACCCTTTATCTCTTTAATGCTAAACTCATGACTGCTTTACTTCCATGCCACGACTCATGCCAAGCCATAATATTTATCTGTAAGCGACTATTGTTTTTGTTGGTGAAGATAACTAGGATGCTTCCTAAGGCTTCACTACCCTTTCGAAGCATTCTTGGGGTCTGATTCTCGAACTCAGACACAGAGGTAATTTCACCAATTTGCTCCTTACAACATCTCAACCCATTTTTAGCTGTTGGAACAAAAAAGTCCCTACAACGTCATGTTAACGTCAATGTGACCTTAGCAACCAATTTAAAAACCAACAAAAATAAATTTAAAAAAAGGAAAAAATACCAAACAAATTTTAAAAAAAATTTCTATAGATACTTAGCCATGTTCTTCACTTCCCACACCAAAATCCATACAAATTCATCTCCTCATATCCCATGTGAATAGTGGTTGCCTTTGGGTTGCCATGGCAATCGGTGGGAATGTATTAAAAAAAATTGATAGGGTAGTCACTATTCACGTGAATAGTGTGTGGCCTTACTTGCCCTTGTCCTTTGTTATGGCACAACGGGTGTGGAAGTGCTCTTAAGCATCCCATGGGACATAACATAAGATTACCCCCAAAAAGACAAATGTAACAAGTAATTTTATTCACAAATCTGCATATACTTAAGTTGCCCTATTTGCATGTAGTCCCAAAAAAAAAAACATATAATATAAAAGGAGGAGGTATATATATTGAGAACTTGAGAGTTTTTGTCTCACATTAAAAAGTTGATGGACTTTCTAAGGAGTTGGAATACTCCGCCATTGCCAATTAGTTTTTGGGTGAAACCTCAACTTTCTCCATAATAGCATATCAAAGGCTTCACATGTTGGGCTAAACGGCCTCACAAGCATATAGAATTCATTTTAGACTCCAAATTTTTCATATTAATCTCATTAAATTTCAATGTCTTGAAAGGAGAAAAAAAAATTCTTTTAAAATAAAATCAAATTCATGCTTCCATTTATCTATGAAACAGTAAAAATGCTTTGTCAAGGAGCCCGTACCTCGCTATGCTCTGCACTTGAGTGTAATTAGGAAGGCCGTTGAGTAGTCCACAGAGAGAGAGAGAGAGACAGAGAGAGGGCCTCCCTGCCCTGCCAAATTTCCATCGATGAAAAGGAAAGATACTGCCCATTGCCCAAGCGACAGAAAATGGAGAAATTGTACTACAGAGTTGGTTTTTTGGACCAAGAAAAAGGTCATAGGCAGAGGCCCATAATAGCCCACTATTTTCGGCTTTTAAAACCACCTTTTAGCTCTTGTTTGTTTTACCTTTTTTGGGTCGTAACTCTTGTTTATTTACCTTAGAAAGCTCTTTTGAGGTTCTCTGAACTTTGGGCCTTCATATGCTTATTTTCCGAACCTAAATGCTCTATTTCGGCCTCAATGTTCTCTTCTTTTCTTTAATTATTTTTTGGGGTCAAAACACCTTGTTGAGGCATAGATATTTGAGCAGAACATTAGACCATCTTCAACCATGTTGAAGTTATACTCAAATTTTCACCCTTTAAAATACAACTATTCATATATTTTTAGGACTCAAATGGTTTTTTTCTCCAACCTTGCCGACTCATAATTTGAATCCGCAAATTTAGTAAATTGTTTAAGAATGGTTAGTCCCTAATTTTTTTTTTATCATTAATTTTTCTTGACATTATTTTTGTTTCAATATTCATGATTTAATTTTCTGAACATTTTGATCTAAAAAATTACAAAAATAATTTTATTTAAAGAATAAAAGCAAGTATAACAAAAAGATGGGTATTTATAAAGTTTGAGATGAGTTTTGAGGTTAGATCTAATTTAGATTAATTATAAAAATTATTTAACCATTTGATTTAAATTTCAGCCGTTGAATGTGAGTTTTTTCCTTCGAGATTGCCTAAAAATAATCATGGCCATTGATTATATATAGATGTTGGAATTAAAAATAAAATAGTATGGGAAACATCAACTTTTTGGAATAGCTGTTGGTATTTTTTTTTTTATATAAAAAGGATCAGGAGCTTTCAAAATGGAGCCTTGGATTCATCAGCTCTTTCATTTGCCATGACACTTGTCACACGAAAAGGAGGTGAGTGGTCGACATCAGTCTGCAGCACATGGCCTGCTTTTTTTCTCCTTTCATATGGGCTGCACAACTGGCTATTGGGCTCCACATAAAATACCAGTCCATGCAAAATTTGGACTAGAATTCCACCCCAAATTTGACATTTCTCAAATTTCTACCTCCCAAAATACATGGATTGGAAAAGAATTTTGGACTCCAAACTGAAAATTTGGGTTTTTACCCCTCAGGTTGGAGATGGCCTAAGGGCATCTCCAATCCACAACTTTGGAATGCTAAAATAAGTGAGTCACATAATCAAAACCCTCTACAACAGCCTTGTTAAACTTAGTCATCAAATGTGCAACCTCCTTATCTCTTTTCAAGACTTGTAAGTTGACATTGGCTCTTCAAAACATTTATTTTACTTTGAAAAAATGAAACCTACTTTGAAAATCTAAAAACATTCATTTTTTTTCTTTTCAAACAATAAATATATAGACAATTTTCACATGTTTTCGTATTTTTAATTATTTTCAGTAATATTGCATTAATTGAATTGAAGAGTTTGTTGGGGCATAAAATATTAAAGTAGCCAACAAAACTGCAATTTGAAGAATTTGGTTTGCTACTACAACACATTGTAATGGAGTTTCAGTTTGAATTAGCAGAGCTTCGATGACGTTCAAGCTTTCTTTATTGTACAACTGTTGTTGGGAAATGCATCGACTTCAATAACATCCTTTTCTTAATTAGCATTCAGAAACCACATACTTGGATTGGAAAAACCATATTCGAATATATAATCTTCATTCAAAGGATTTTAGTATTCAAATCCCAATCCTATCCCGGTATTTGGAAAACTCAATTTCAATGAACAAACAGTCAATATAATTCTGGCAGTTCCAATGCACGTCTATTAATTTCCACTTCTGCACTACAATCTAAATCTGTGCTGCGTGTATATATAGCAATGCACCCCTCCAACAAAGCCACGGGGAGAGAACCAACCTAGTAATTTGCACTTCGGATTATCTTATATCGCCCAGAAAAAAAGAAACCAGTTTGGATTGCAAACATGGGAGGAAGCAGAGGCTCTAATAGTAATAGCAATAGCCAGGTTGGAAATCAAAATGCTGCGGGGGTAAGTCGTCCAATGTAGCAGCAAGTGGTGGTGGTGGTGGTGGAGGCAATGCAGCAGGGAATATGAAAGCACCTGGAAGAGATTATGCAATCTCCAGGGAGAGCTTTGAGAGCAACCCAGCTGCCTATTTCAGGGATTTGCGGAAATAGATAGGAATGAAGTAATTACTTACTCGCTACTACTACATGAATAAAAGAGTAGCAGTCTACTATATTGCTGCTTTTATCTATCTTTATGTAATGTCCCTATCTATGTTAATCAAAGTACCCTCATCTTGGTTTTGGGATTAATTACCAATTTCATATTGTGTTTAAGCTTTCTTTCTGCCCTTTTTTCAAAATTCGTTTTACCTTAAACTGAAAATGTTTATTACAACTGTAAGCATAAGATTTCATTCTACCCAAAAAAAAACAAAAAAACGAACAGGAAAACCTTGGACTCAGCAAAATACTGCAAAACAAAAGAGAACAATCGCTTCATAAACTCGAAAGGATAATTCACAAGTAAGCTCCTTGTCTGTCTTGTCTCAAAGTGCAACATTCATAGGCACAACATGGGTTATGTCCAATTTATGCACCAAGGACAAGAATCATGGGCAACTGATCTGACCTTCGAAGTTCAAAGTGGTTGTAGCCTTACCTGTACTCCATGTTGTGGACGAACTGTAAGAAGATGTAAGGGCGAGTGGACATAACCTGGGGAAAGGGTGAAGGCGTAACGTTGTAGAATCATCGACAAAGCAATCTTCACTTCCGTTGTCGCAAAGTTTAAGCCCACACAAATTCGAGGTCCCATTGAAAAGGGTATGAATGCGCCTACATGATTGTTGGTTGCTTTGGCAACCCCTTCCGAGAATCTCTCTGGTTTGAAAAGTTGCACATCTTGTCCCCAGATTTGAGGATCATGGTGAAGTGCTACGATTGAGACATCCAATTCAAGATTACTAGGAACAATCAGCTTTCCTAGTGTAACTTCCCTTTCGACTCTCCTTACAACGTGAACAGCAGGGGGATATAACCTTAGAGTCTCATTGATGATCATACTCATCTGCATCAAAAAGAAAAATGGATAACCAAATCAGGATCTTGAACTTTATTGAGAACATATTTCTGCCATCTAGACAAGTTTCTTACTGTTGTCAGTTTGCCAATGCCATCAAGATTTGGAGTTTGTTTGCCAAATAATTGTAGCACCTCCTTTCTTGCTTCCTCTTGCCAATCCGTATGGAGTGCCAGAAGAAAGACAGTCCAACAAAGCAAAGTATTAGCGGTTTCTTGTCCGGCAAAGTAAAACGTCTTGCACTCATCAATTATCTCCTGCACCGAAATCCTCTGGTTCTCATTGGCTTCATGATTAGCCTTCAGAAGTAATCCAAGAAAATCACTCCCAAAGCTGTCGTTTTCTCCAGTCATTGTCTTCTTTTCTCTTTTCTTAACCATCTCTATTATGGAGGCATGGATTCCTTTCTCAAGTTTTTCCGATTCGATCTCATCGCTGGTTTTGAAGAGCTTACTGCAACATTGAATGAAAGACTAAAAATGAGAGAACAGAAGTAACTCCCTAAAAATTTCTTATTTCTTCTCTTCAATTGGAATATTAGAAGTACTAAGTTACCTTATGACAGGAACCCTGACTTTGAGAATATTTTTGAATATTAGGAAGCCTAACTTCCTCAACATTTCAAATATGTCCTGTCCTTCTGAATAACTGCTGCCAAATGCTGTTCTCGAAATCACTTCCGAAGTGAACAATCTAAACTCTTCAAAGACCTCAATCTCTTTTCCTTCATAAACTTTCCACCTTTCTACCATCTTCTCAGCACTGGCTACCATATCTGGAATCATACTCTGGTAAAACAATAATACCATCATGCTATTAGCAGACTTTTGCCTTCAACTTATTCTTTTCATGTTTAAATAGTTGACAGAGCTATTACTATAATACTCTTTGCAACAAAGTACCAGCAACTTAATAACTTACTTTTAAACTCTCTCCATGGAAAGCAAGGGTGGCCAGCTTTCGCAATTTTGCCCATTTTTCAGCTTTGTTTGTTGCCACAAGGCCATCTCCAAATAGCTTCTTCGAAATGTTTGGGGGCTCTCGTTTTGGATAAGCTCTGCCTTTGTTATTTAGTATCTCTTTGCACAACTCAGGTTCTGTTATAACCAACTGAGCTCGAGAACCATGCCATTGAAGATAATTCTTCCCTGTAATTGCATGCAAAAATGAGCAAAACTTATCTTGTTTAGAACTTAGATTTAAATAACAATAGTTAACTAATTGAGATGGCTTGTTATTTTGTTACCATATATGTTGGTCCACGAGTGAACGTGAGGTTGAACTACAGAAAATATGTCGTGTGATAAAATGTGAGGCCTGCCCATGACTTCCTTTTTCATGTTGGAGATTTCTTTGGTATTTCCGTAGATGAATCTGTAAGAAGGGCCCTTGATCCCCTGCAAAGCCATCACCTTCTGTATGCGAATCGGAGTCCACCATAGTTTGTGAAGGATCTTGATGAAAGCTAAGACAAGGAGCAGACACAGAAAGCTTGGAAGAATGATTATTAGGCCTCCCAAAGTAGTCATTTTGGGGGTATTGTTTTTCTCTTCGGCTATCTCTCTCTCTTTTTCTGAATGAACCCTACCGAGTTTTTAAAGCTTTTCTTGCTCCTGATTGTTCTGAAAAAAAGTCAAGAAAAAAATCAATCTGTTCATGTTGCTTCTGTTTGTTAGTTTGTCCTGCTAGTTACTACAATCCAAAGGGCAAATATAATAGTGACTCTCATTGAAACCTTAAGCTGCTATTTGTTGACTTTTGATACATCATGGTAGACTTCATGTTGGAATTTATCTCCCGGCTTCGTCGTCACCAATGACATTAGTATTACCATATGATTTTCTTTCATGACTTTTTCTCAACTTTAACTAGAGCTTCCATATGAAAATTTTGCTTTGAAAAATAGTAATCAACCTCGGGAGCGGATCCGCTGCCCCCCTTTTCTATGTCCCTTCATGTCACTAAAGTTTCATATCCGTTCCCATCAAGCTATGTGGTCGAAGATCTCTGGGCCTTCATATTCTTCTTTTGCGGGCCCAAATTGTTTGCGTTGATTCTATTTCCTCCTCGTAGTTCTTTTCTTTTTTTCTTCTTTTTTTGGATCAAAACCCCTTGTTGATTGAGGTATCGGATATCTGAGCAAGAAATTATAATGTAGTTTGCAGGACTTTCGATGACGTTCAAGCTTTCTTTATTGTACAATTGTTGTTGGGAAATGCCATCCTTTTCGTAATTAGACATTCCGTCAGAAAGGAAACCACATACTTGGATTGGAAACACCATACTTCATCCAAGTATTCAAATCCCAATCCTATCACGGTAATTGGAAAACTCAAGTTCAATGAACAAACAGTCAATAGTATTCTGGCAGTTCCAATGCTTCTTCTATTCATTTCCACTTTTGACTCTTCTAATTCTTAGAACCAAACTGATGCACTACAATCTGAATCTGTGTGTATATATAGCAATGCAGCCCTCCAACTAAGCCACAGAACCAAGCCAACTGAGTAATTTTGCACTTTGGATTATCTTACCTGACCAAAAACAGAAACCAGAAAAGCATTTTGGATTGCAAAGATGGGAGGCAGCAAAGGGTCTAATGGTAACAGTAATAGCCAGGTGAGAAACCAAAATGCTGGTGGTGGAGCCAATTCATCCAATGTAGGAGGAGCAAGTGGTGGTGGTGGTGGTGGTGGAGGCAATTCAGCAGGGAATATGAAAGCACCTGGAAGAGATTATACAATCACCAGGGAGAGCTTTGAGAGCAACCCAGCTGCCTATTTCAAGGATTTGCGCAAATAGCTTCTACTTAGTCTCACTACTAGATGAATAAAAAAAGAGTAGCAGTCTATTGCTGCTTTTGTTTGTTAATCTATCAATCTATCCATCTATCTATTTTATGTAATGTCCCTATCTATGTCAATCAAAGTACCCTCATCTTGGATTTTACATCCAACAACCGAACAAAGAAGGCTGACATAATAGCATTCAATAGTGAGACAGCAAACAAGGCACAAGGAATTCACCCAAGAATGAAAAAAGATAAACAAGGCATAACCAAGGGAGGAATTTTTTAAACTTCTGCATAAGAGTTGACTCTGTTGCTTTACATACAAATAATATAAAGACTTTCCTCGGCAAGTTGGCCAAAAACAAAGCAAATCCCCCTTTATTTATGCTTGGACATTTGTAATACAATGGAGAGCAGGTCTCGGCCGGCAATGATAGAAGCCTGGAACAACCTATGTTACTTCATTATTCTATGCCTTAACCAATATTTATGACCTGGTATTGTTTCTAGCTTTTGTATTTAATCTCCATGATCCATCCAATAATTCATTTAGTGTAAATTGGTCGAAGAAACATTCCTAAAGAAACAAACATCAAAATATTGAACTAAACTGTTAAATCATTTAATATTGCCGGCCAGAATGAGATGCATATTGTTTTTTTAAAGTCCAATATTTTTAATCATCTCCTCAGGCCCTTATATGTCTTGAGTAGTTAGAGCCTAAACACCAATAGAGTTTGATCTTCTCTATATCCAGACCCGACCCTGTTCGAGAACTGGTTCACTTGGAACATTCTCTGCTATGGCTTCTTTTTCAATAGAAGAATTTGTTGGGGAGGGAGTTCTGAAAGTGCTGCTTCCAAAGCTGTTGGAAGAAGGCTGGGACGATGTGCCAACCTTAAAAATCATGAATACAGATGATATGGATGCATTAAGCATGACACAGCTAGAGAAGGTTGGTTATCTAGAGTCTTTTTCATCGTCTGTCATTTTTCTGCAGCATATGCTATCTAAAACCAATCTCCCACTTCCTCTGTTATCTAGAGTCTTTTTCATCGTCTGTCATTTTTCTGCAGCATATGCTATCTAAAACCAATCTCCCACTTCCTCTGGCTCATAAATATAACTTTATAGGTTTTTTTTTTTTTTTTTTTTTCCTCCAGAAATCACTCCCTAATCTCTGAACATTATGTATGAATCTACAAAAACATGTCTTATAGTTTGATTTGTTTTTACTTATCACAGAAAAGAATCAACATATATACATATGAATCTGCCTCTTAAGTCATTTCTTTTGTGTTTACTCTAGGATGCACTGGAAATCAGGTCATACCTGCATGACCGTGCTTTGATGCAATATGGGGATAGGATCGAGTCCAGTGGGAAATGTCTGTCTGAGCTCCTTAACTTAAGCCCCGGAGATCTTTCTTCCCAGTTTGGCATGAAGCGAGGCCATGTTGCCCGTTTTATGGACAGAACCAGTGCTTGTGCAGATCACCTACCAAACTCACATCCTTCCCTTGCAACAGAAAAAATTAGCTTACTTTCGAAAAATACTAGCATTCAAAGGAGTTTTCAATCTGTAAACTCTCAGAAGTTTCATAGTAAATTACCAACAAGAAATAGTTCAACCAATAGCAAATCTCTGCAACAATCACTGGCCAGTTTTAAGATTAGGGATGGATACATTTTCAAAGGGATAGTTTCTATGGAGCCAGCTGAACCTAGAGCATGTGGTTGTGTACAACCTCCTCCTGTAGTTGAAAAAGTTGCTCCATACTCTACCATCGAAAACATCTCAATTCAGAAGCTAACTCCAGAGTATAAGATGGGGATGGAGCATTTGGTGAAAACCAAAACACCTCCAATGAAGGCTTCAGAACTGTGGCGAAACAAACCAGCAGTCCTTCTCTGCATCCGACGTCCAGGGTAAATTCTTATACACTGCATTAAAGCATGGCTTTATTTCACAGAGCCTGGTTTTGTCCATTATACTAAATGCTAAACTTTTCAGTCATGAACTCAGATAAGTAGGGGGGGTTTGTTGATCCATACTTTTTTACATGGTGTACTAAGTAAATACAAGACAGAGATTCACAAATTAAAATAAAGATCACATGATGAAGGTATATTGATGTAGGATGATAACCTTGTCTTAAAATACAAAAAGATGTAAATAAAACAAACAAAACTAGGGTACGACCTTGAAAAGCTGGCTCGACTATACTGTGAGATATAGAGTTTTTCATAAGATATCTTTAAGTCCACTTCAAAGAATGAGCATCTTTCTTGAAACTAACTAATATTTGAATTTGAAACAGGTGCATCATGTGTAGGGCTGAAGCTCACCAGCTATATGCCAAAAAACCCATTTTTGATTCACTGGGAATTCAACTATTTGCAGTTCTTCATGAGCATATGGAGTCAGAGGTATATCTAACTACACTTCAACTTCTTCCTCTTACCTTCCACTTTGGATTATGTGTTATTTTGATGCTGCAGATAAAGGACTTCTGGCCTCGATACTGGGGTGGTGTTGTATTGTTTGACCGCGGAACGGAATTCTTCAAAGCACTTGGTGGAGGGAAACTGCTCAAGGAAAAATTCCTATCAGGTTTTGTTTTCAATCCTCGAGCCATAGCAAATTACAAGCGTGCAAAAGCTATGGGAATAAAACAAAACTTCAAAGGAGAAGGTGAAATTAAGGGGGGACTATTTGTAGTTGGCAGTGGAAGGAGTGGCATTGCATACCAGTTTATTGAGAGGAACTTTGGTGATTGGGCACCTCCAGCTGAAGTCATTGAGATCTGTACTCAGTTGCAGCAGGTAACTATTCTTGTTGGACTTTCTAATTCTTCCCAGAGTCTGCATCAGTGATAAATCTTATATTTAACAGCTCATTTTTAACCTAATGCAGAACCGACATGAAGGTCATGAAGAGTCCAATACAAGATCACAGCAATCTGAATGAAAGTTAGATTAGGTTGCAATTATCAGCCCATGCCTGAGATTCTCAAACTTGCATTCTTTGTTTGATTGTGTATTTTATGGTTCAGCTATTGTTGATCAAGTTTTGGACATTAACGAATAATTTTCCGTCTTTGTGTGATTGTGTATTTTACGGTTAACCACTTCTGGTCTTTAACAACCTAAATTCTTCAAACACCTCAATCTCTTTGCCTTTATGATTTTTCCACCTCTCTAGCATTGTCTCAGCAGCTAGCTACCATTACTGGAATGATTCTGTTCTTATTAAAATTGTTGATGCATCTATTTCTAATTCTTGAATAGTTGCTTCTGAAGCACAGAGAAATTCTGAATTTGGTCACTTACCTAATAAATATAATGGTTTTACAATCCTCTCCAACAGCCTTTGACACTGACAATCTCATCACCAGAAATCTCCACATGAACAAGTTCCATCTTTAAATAAATGGTACCGGACAGCATCTCTTACAAGTATCTCTCTCTTGGTGATCTTGGAAATGTATTTAGTGGCATTGTGGCAATCCCCGCATACTCTAAGGTTTTTAACTACTCGTATAGGAATGCCAGCAGGAAGAAATATCAATCCAAACGCAATTGCCAGCTTCTCGCTGTGGTAATTAAGCATCTTCTTCTTTTCTGATTCCTCAACATCATGAAGAACAGAACTCATATCTGGCTCATACCCCTCTTCTATCATTTTGCAATTTAGTTTCTCCAGCTTGGCATATATCTTATCTGAAAATGGACTTGACTGGTCATCTGCTGAAAAAATGTGCACTCTGCTCTTATATTTGATCCAACTGCAACCTGGTTCCTTTCTAACCCCCTTATCCCTCATTCCTCTCCTTAAATTGGCCACCTCGTTCCATTTCCCTTTAGCAGCATAGATGCTTGAGAGCAAGATATAGCTAGCAGGATTCTGGGGCTCTAACTCTAGAAGAGATTCAGCTGCCCATTTACCAATTTCGATATTACGATGAAGTCTACATGAGCTCAGCAAAGTGGCCCAACCAATTGCATCGGGATGGAAAGGCATCTCATTTATGAATCTTTTTGCTTCTTCTAACCTTCCAGCTCGGCTGAGAAGGTCAATGATGCAAGTGTAGTGATCCATAATTGGTGTAATTCCATGTTCTTTTACCATGGATTCAAAATACTGATGTCCTTTATCCACGAGTCCTGCTCTGCTGCAAGCTGAAAGAACCCCTATGAAAGTAACTCCGTCGGGTTTCAAACTATGGGCCAGCATCCTTTCAAACAAATCAATTGTCTCATAAGCTTTTCCAAACTGGGCATAACCTGAAACCAAGGCTGTCCAGGAAACCTCATCCCTGATGTTCATCTCATTGAACAGCCGATGGGAGTCTTCAATGCTTCCACATTTACCATATAAGGTGACAAGTGCATTTGAAACTGTAATGAAAGAAATCAAGCCTGAAGCTAGAGCTTGACCATGGAACTGGGCACCTTCTTCTAAGCTTGCTAGGTTTGCACATGAGCTAATTACACTTCCCAGGGTAAAATCATCTGGTTCAACCCCTTTTCTCTGCATGTCACAAAAAACTCTAACAGCTTCTTCACTGTACCCATTCTGGCCATAACCCACAAGCATTGCAGTCCACGATACCACATTCTTGCAGCTCATTCTCTTGAAAACTCCTTCTGCAGCTTTTATGCTTCTACATTTGCAATACATGTCAACAAGAGCACTACCAACGAAGATGTTATCTATAAGCTCAGTCCTAATGATATAGGCATGAACTTGCTTGCCCTCTTCCAAGGCAAATAGGCCCCCGCATGCGGTCAATACGCTACCAAATGTATATTGATCCATACTTAAGCCTTCTAATATCATTTCTCTAAACTTATCAAGAGCTTTGCTGCCTGAACCGTTTTGGGTAAGTCCTGTAATCATTGTGGTCCATGAAATCGAATCTTTTTCAGGCATTTTACTGAACAAACATTCAGAATCTTCTATCAATCCACACCGTAAAAGCCCGGTGATCAATGTATTATACATAACCACATTCCTCTCCGGCATAGAATTGAAAACACGTTTTGCGTCAAGAATCAACCCTGCTTTTGAGTACATGTCAACCAAAGGACTACCAACAAACACATACGACTCGAACCCAAATTTCACTATATGCCCATGAAGCTGTCGACCCAAGTTCACACACCGCTGGCTCGAACAAAGCACAAGCATCGTGGAAAACGTTATCCGGTTCAAATTGACGGCTCCGTCCGTTAACATCAAGCTATAAAATTTGCCAGCCTCAGCAAGCAAACCACAGGACGCATGCCCAGAAATAAATGAATTCCAAGACACCCCATCTCGCCTCGGCATGCGATCGAAGATCTCTTGCATATCAGAAAGATAACCCGATTTAGAATAGACGGAGAGAATTGCGTTCCATGAGAAAAGGGTTGGGTGAGGCATTTGATCGAACACATGACGAGCATACCTTAAGTTGCCTAATCTCCCGTACGTCGTGATGATATTATTGAGAAGAAAGGTTTCAGGACTTGTAAGGGTTTTGATAATGTGACAGTGAAGCTTCTTTGCTTGTGCATGGTTTCCTGCTTGGCAGCAGATTTTGAGCAAGTTACAGTAGTAGTTAGAGGACAAAGACATTAGAGGAAGAGGGGCCTTTTGGCGGTAATTTAGAGAGTTTGTGATCGGATGAATTCGAGCTTATGGTAAGCTTGAGGAGCTGTGCCTTGGTCATGGATAAATATATTTTATTTTATTTTTTCTATTTTTAACATTGTGATGTTGAAGTTAATATTCTAATCAGCTATAATATTAGTCGATTTTATTTTTTTATTTTCCAAATACTCAAATTTTAATTCAATTCAGCATCTGTAATTAGTCCAATTTTATTGTATTTAAATAAATAAAAATTGGGAGATTTTGGAAAAAGCAAAATGAGAGAGAAATTTTTTAAAAGAAGCTAAAATGGACAAAATTACCCTTGTTTATTTTTGGATTTCCTAAAGAATCCTTTACATTTACATGTCTTTGATTTGAAAATTGAGAGGTTTTTCTGTCTTTTTTTAAAAAGCTTTGGCTTTTTCCCAAAGTGAAAGTTTTTTTATGGCTAACACCTAAATTTACTATAAAAATTTAATCTGTTAAAATTGTATCAAGAGGAGAAGAAATAATAATTTTGTTACATATAATCAATACAAACAGCTTCTTAATCTAAAATGAACAAAGAAATCACCAAGATTCTCATTGCAAATTTCTTGTTACCGACACTTTGCCCATCTCATCTCCAGATTATACAAGGCAGCTTCCCTTCCCTATTAATAGTCTCTGTTATCTCTATACAAAATTCTTTGATCCACAAAGTCACCTAAGTCAGAGAGCAAACCCACTCCTTTGAACAAAGAATTTCACCTTTCTGCCTATTTAGCATACAATGCTTTTTATAATATGAATATGTCATCTGCTGCTGCTGCTGCATTATATTTGTGAGAATCCTCTAAGCCACAAGCCTCGCATTTAACTGGTCGAGCTCGCAGTAAACATTCCGACGGTATCTTCATCATCATTGGTGATGGTTAAAAGGAATATCATGATTTTTGTTATTTCATCAAGGTAGTATTGTAAATATACGGGGCCATAAATGTGTTGCGTGGCGTAAATATGAATCGTATAATCAAAGTTCGACTTTCATTTGACCTGGTGTCCCTGATCCTGCAGTTTCAAATGAGAAATTAGGTCCGAAGACAGTGGAGAAATATCAGAGGAAATGCTCATACAGAAAAAACTAACAACACGCACCATCCACATCTTGGCTACCGGTGGGAGTACTGGCTCCGTAGCTCATCTGGACAACATTGTGGAGCTCATCCTCCCACACATTGGGTAGCTGTAGCCAAATATAGGATTATGAAGGTTCAGTCGTAACATTATAGAGACTCTGAAAGCTGAGCAGAAGAATGACATTCAGGTGTACAGGGTGTATGGGATGTTATCCAGATTTTATATGAAAGTTTAGTAACAGAATTCTAGCTATCATTTGAAAGATACCTGAGATGGCTCCTTGAATCCTCCGGTCATTGGTGTCATTTGGGAACTCATGGCTCTCCGAAGTATATCAGAAGGGCTCCCCATTCCAGGGAGGCCAGCTTGGATAAGTCCTGATTGAGATTGATGTAGCTGAGGATATGCAACAGGCACATCTGGAGAAAACCCCAGCGTAGATGAAGGTCCAACCCGTGACTGAAGGATCTGTGTGTAAATGATGTACAAGGGTGAATCAGATGAGGCACATATATATAATTATTCTGCATTCTCATGGAATATAAGCAAAATGACTTACATCTTTTGCAAGGAGGCCTTCAATGTTAAAATCCAGTCGTGGATTCACTGTTGCAAGCTTCATCGACAAAAACTGCAAAAAGAACAGGTCAGTGTGAGATACGATTGAGCATCCTTTTCTAATCAGAATCACATGACAGTAAAAGTTGAGTTTATGGCCTGTATTAAGGTTTATTAGTAATGATTCACCTATTTGCAATCTTTGTCTTAGAAGCAAGACCTTAACCAGAATAACAACTTATGAATAGCTCACAACCCAATCAACACTTTTGATGAAATCAAATATTTAATGCCCCAATCCAAGATACAGGAAAGACCAGTTACACTAGATATAATAAGAACCACAACCTCAGAAGAAGAGGAACCAAACAAAAAAACATTCATACCTCAACCTGTCGTTGCAATGATTGTACATAGTTAATGATTTCGTCCAGCATCACTGCCTTCCCAGTTACCTGCAAAAACTAGTTGATTGTCATGAATAGAACTAGGCAACTATCAGGTGAGAATTTGACGTAAATTTAATTCCCATACGACAACCTTGCTGCATCCAGGTACAAGATCTTGGAGAAACTTCATCCTCTCACTGATCTTCTCCCTTCTGACCTGTTGCAAAAATCAATGAACTCCAACCCAAATGTAGTAATAATAAAAATTTCCACATAATATCTTACTCTTTCTGCAAGACTATGACTATTTGTTGCCTGGCCCCTTCGGGCTCTAACGTGAATATATTCTTCTTTTGGTGGATCAGACGCTTGAGACCCTTGTTTACTCTGTTTTCCGGTAGTCTTGTTGGTAGTTGACGCTGGGTGTTGCTCTCCCTTCGGTTGAATTTCAGAAGCATCCTGTGCTGATTCACCAGGTTGCTGCGCATGGGCATGATCAAGTTCATTAGCCTACCATAAAAGATAAATGAGATGCATAAGGAATTTTCTGAAGACAAAAAGACACCTTTTGCATGTGAAAGAAAACATTCAAAATGATGGTTTACCTGCCCACTCCTTTTCCTTTTCTTAGAGCCCTTAGAAGAAGGTTCTGCACCTGTACCCTCCAACATAGAAGGCTCCTCTTGACCAGCACCACCGCTGAAATCCGCTTCATCAGACTCATTACCAGACCCGCCAACAGTGTGTTTCGCTTCATCGTGAGATTTCACAAGACTCTCACTTTTCTTCTCATTCTTCAGTGGGCTCCCTTCAGTAGTCCCATGCTCAATAGGCAAGGAAACATCTCTTGAAGCATCACCCCCATTTAGCTCATTCCTTTGAGATTGAGCGCACGACACCGCTTTGGAGCCGTTACCTGCTACAACTTCTTGTGTCCAGTGCATCATTCCTCCACCCCTAGAATAAAGACTCATGGATTCAGGAACACCAAAAGGGTTGAGCATATCACTATAACTCCCACCATTGAAGCACGAGAACCTCGCAGCACGCTCAATGAAGGCAGAATCGGCTGGGAACTGAGACAAGCTCTGTGGGAGCATCCCAGGCCCATTTGGTAAGAAAATTCCCCCTTTCAACATTGAATTTGGTGGATTCCAACACATCTCAAGGGGTCTATGTCTGAAGTGCTTGCACTGGTCTGACCGTTGATGTCACAAAATCCTCCCAAGTCCTGTGAATTGGTTGGGTGATCCCAAAGTGTTGGGTTAAAAGAGTCCACCATTGAAGCAGAGGGCCGGGAAGAACCAACAAGATCCCCTTTACTAACTGCCATAGAATTTCCAGTGGAAACCAAACCCACAGACGTATTTGTGAGATTGGAGCCCCCAAATCGCCAGTCTGGAGCCAAACCAGGTGAATAATTCATAGGATCCTCATTCCTATTCTCTAATTCAAATTTATCTTGGTCACCCATATCCATCTTTTCTCTTACAACCAAAACCTCCAAAGTTGATCGCCCCTATTAAACCCTAGAACCTGAATTTGAATATCTCTATATTCAAACCAGGATCACAAACCAGGAGAAGAAAAAAGAAAAACAGGGTAACTACGGGAAGTAGAATTCAACTCAAATAGGACACTTCAAGCAAGCTTCAAACACACAGAGTATGAAACTTTAAAACTTGCAATTGAAGAAACCTCAAACTGCTCTGAAAAACTTTACCTCAGAAGCTCCAGAAAGCCAAAAAGAGAAGAAATCATGTACCGTATGAAGCAAAGTACACAAAGAAAACAGCTTTGAAGAAGTGAACAAGAAAGATCCACTTTAATTAATGAGCACAAGAAGGCTAAAACAGTGAAAGAAATCCCACGTACCTAAAAAAAACTGTACGAAATATCACACCAATTTAGCAGCTACCATTTCCAAAGACCACTGAACTTTGAAGTACCAAATTTCATAAAGGAAGCCCTCCCCAAGGCAGAAAACTAAAAAAGACAGTTCAAAGAAGAGCTGGTAAAAAGCCTAGGAGAGCAGTCAATTAAAACAAAGACCACTGATTTCAGCATAATAAATACACCCCCATTCAAAACCCTAGTCAGAGTAGCAGAACGCCAGCTCTGAAACACAGACAGAGAGAGAAAGACCAAACTAAAAGCGGTAAGAGAAAGATACCCATTTCAGATTCTGTGCAACTTTTGGTATTCTGCCCTCCATTCAAGCTTTTTACTGAAACAATCTTTTTATTGAATTTGGGTGGCTTTGTTCAAACCCCTTCCTGTTTTTTTTAGCTCAGCAGCTCTGCTACACTCACTGTCACAAACCCAAAAAAAGAGAGAGAGAAACTCGTTTATAAAAGCAAAGGCTTTAATGTTGTGGAGAGAGAAACAAAGAAGATAGGTTCCTTCAATGTTAGACAGAGTGAAAAAGAAGAGTAATGGCAAAGGTCTTGCTTTTTATACCCACGCTTACATCAAAAAGAGAGCTCTTGATGATTAACCACCGCCACTGCCACTGTAAAATATTAAAAAGACTCCCCCCCGCCCAAAGCTTTTTCTTCACCACCTTTATTATTTAATATCAGATTAAACTTGTATTTACTTACTTTTAAAATATCTGTTTATTTTATTTACTTGTTTAACTCTGTTCAGTTCAATCAAGTTGCATAATTGTATTGTTTAAGCAGATGTTTATTCCAGTTGAGCTAGCAACTGACACTGCCAACTCTTGCTTGGGAGTTTTCTTTTATCTTATTGCATTGTCCTTCATTACACCTTGGGACAAGAGCTTAAGATTTTTTTAATGAGGTTTGTTTGGTCAAGACCCTAAAAATCTAGCTAATTTTCACACTCTTTTTTTTTATGACTTTTATTTTATTTTATGGAATTCATCAATAAGAAACTAAAGCCGTCTGGTTTAGGCAGTCTGCAATCTGCATTATTGTATGGGAAGATCTATGCTATCTCATCGTGATAACTTGACCGTCTTATCTTAGCAGACCAGCACATTGTGCTGTTTGTTTGTTCTGTGATGCATATAAAATATAGGCCGCACGATCTAATCATCCAAAAAAGTAATGAAATTGAATGGCTAGGATCATCCCTAATCACAGTCTCTGGGTTGACCCATCAGTTATGAATTATTCATTTATAGCAAGTTGCACCTAGAGGTCATACATGAATAATTGAATATTAGAAAGAAAAGAAAAGAAAAAACTAAAAGTAATAGTCCACAGTGAAACTTGTTCAATTTCTACTACCTATGGCTTATACCATTCATAGACTGTCCTTTCTTTCTTTCTTTCTCTCATGCCATTATTAGTTGGCATTGGGACTTGCAATCACAGTGACCTAAGCCTTAGAATAATGGAATCTCCCTCCTCCACTTTGCTTTATAAAATCCTAAGCTTTTAGAGGTGGACGTGATTAAATTTGATTGGGTTGCTTTAATCTAAACACAATTATGTAAGTAACTGTTATTTTTCACTGAACTAGACACCTCTTACGAGAAGAAAAATAAGATGAAAGCCAAGCCATATAGTAAACACAAACAAATTTATATGCTAAGTATATTTCTTTTAATTAAATACTACATAAAAAAAATCATTTATTATTTTGATGTGCAGTGTGTATAAGAAAGAATGAATGAAGGAGAAAACAATGAAAACAAAACCTACACAGGGTACCGCCCTATTAAGGAAACAGGGATTAGATTCCTTCATACCAATTTCTCCAAATAGATTATGAGGGAGCCAAGAAGTGGACAAATGGGGCATTGACACGTGTAATGGTGTGCTCTTATACAGGAGGCCAACTGATTGGTGTCACTGTCACGTATATAAAAAGTTTAGAATTAAAATACATTATTGTATATAGTGAGAGTTGGTTCATGGTTGGCAATGGCATGGCTGGCTCTCCTTTTGGGAAAGCTAAAACCAAGCAACCAAATCCCAGCCATGGCAACATGGGATGAGAGTTAGGGATTCGAGATCTCTTAACCAGAGCTTTAGAATTCTTTAACCTCAATCAAAGACTGAATTGTTGATCATTACTCTCTCTCTCTCTCTCTCTCTCTCTCTCTAGAAAAATAAAGTTGCTACAGTACTTGGACTTGACCCGTAATCAATTTGGAGAAGCACGTTTCAGACTTTAAATTATGTGATTCTATTATTGTACTTACTAAACAGTCACATACAAGTTTACAAGTACGCATGCATGTTTATTGTACTTAGAGCATTTAAGGGGATGTAAATTCGAGAGTGTAAAGTTACTTTTACATCCTCTTTACACTTCTGGAGGGTATAAATATATTTTTTGCTCTAATAAGGGGGTGTAAATTCGGGGGTGTAGCCGTGGATCTCAGCCTTTTATGTTGACTTTTCTTCATTTTTCTTCTCTTTTCTCGGGTGGGTCCCGCCTGCAGGGATATAAAAATAGATGTAAATATACATTTTATTTTACATCCTCATGGTGGTGATGTATACTTACATCCATTTACATCTCCCCATTGGAGACGATTTCGGTGACTTGGAATGTATATTTAACATACATATACACCCCCCACTGTGGATGCTCTTAGAGCAGCTCCAGCGCTGCATGCAAACCGAGCAGGAGGCCCCCTGAGCAAGCCCAAAGCGGCTTCAGGGAGAGAGAATTGGCCTGGGCAAGCCCTAGGTCCTACCAGCCCGGGCAAGCCCAAGGGCAGGTTTCGCCTAGGCTTCAGCCCAAAGGCGTTGACGTCACGCTGACATCATAGAGCGGAATTCAAAATTTTTTTACTGTTTGCGTGTGAGTTTCACGCGCCTACGATAAAAACAATTTGACTTCCGCTCGATGACGTCATCCCTGACAGAATCCAACGGGCATGCACCACGTGTCGCAACCCGGACGCTCCAATCGGTTTTTTTCCATAAATTCGACGGTCCTCTTTTTTTTGACTAAAAAAATTTGAAAAGAATCGAAAAAAATTCTTATTTTTTTTTAAAAATAAAAAAATTCTATATTTTTTCCCTATAAGTACCTAACAATTTTATTCACTTTCCATACCAAATCTTCATACAATTTCTTCTCCTTCCAATATTTTTTACTTTCCACACCAAATCTTCATACAAACTCTTCTCCTTCCAATATTTTTTACTCTCCACTCATATTTTTCTACTACTTTCCATTTGTATCAAAAAATAAATGGTATCTTCTGTCAAAGCCGGAAACGCGTGGACAATTCAGGAAGCTATTGTGTTGTGTCAATCTTGGGTGAACGTTAGTCATTGCTCTGTCACGGGCAATGAGATGAAGTTCTCTCGTATGTGGAGCAAAATTCATGGAGAATTTTGTCAAAGATTAGGTTCCATTCGGACCGAAATAGCCTTATCTAGTAGATGGAGAATTATGAATAAAGAGTTAAGGAAATGGAGAAATGCCTTGACAAAAGCAAGGAAGAACATTCAAAGCGGTCAAAATATATCTGATGAGGTAAAATATTTATATTTGTCATTTTAATCAATTTAATGCAACTTTGTTTTATTGCATATTCTATTTCTTTTTCTTGCATAATCTTTTTTTTTTTTTTTGCATTTCTAATTTGTCTATATTTTCTTGCATAATCAATTTTTTTCTTGCATTTCAAAATTGATTTATATTTTCTTGCATAATCTTTTTTTTTTCTTCTATTTCCAATTATTTATTTTTAATAGATCATACAAACACAAATGTGGTTCGGTGCCATGGGGCAAGGCAAAAAAAGTTTCTTGCATTTCCAATGTTGGGAAGTTGTGAAGGATTGTTCGAGATTCAAAATTATTCTCACATGTCCGGCGGTTGTGTTGAATGAGACGCCACTCTTTGATTCACCATTGGAATCTCCAATGGAAACGGAGTCACCACTCCCACGTCCGCTGAGACCTATTGGGAGAAAAGCGGCAAAGGCCAAGAGAGGGAGCAATTCGAACAATGAATGTGTACAATTTATGGAGCAAATAGCTAAGAACATCGCACTAAGAATTAAGAGAGACTTAAAAAGAGAAGAAGCAGACATTGCACGACAGGAAGCATTTGCAATTCAACAACAGCAGGCATAAGAAAAAGACATGGAGGATAGAGAGATGAAAATCATGGTCATGGATACGAGCCATATGTCTCCTGAAACAAAGGCCTATTGGAAGCTAAGACGAATGGATGTGATGAGAAGAAAACTTTACCATGATGACGGATCTAGCAATACGGATTGGTTAAATGATCAAAACCATTGGGTTGTATTGAAAGATTTGCCATATGTATTAATTTGTTGTATTGTTTTCCTTTTATTCAATAAAAAAAGCATTAAATAACATGACTATTTATTAAAAACATTTGCGCATCAAAACAAAGATTAATTAAAAACAAACCTTAATTTATTGCAAACAACACACAAAACAAACCATACTTAAAAGCATAATAATAATATATATATATATATATAAAAGCATAATTTCAAAAAACACCACACACAAAATAAAGCATAATTCCAAACAAAACACTAATCTTGACTTCATCCACTATGATTGCCTTTCATCTCCCACAAGTGCTCGATCAAGTCAAGTTCACGTCTCTCGTGAACATATGAAGATTGCATTTCTTGATAACGATCAATCATGGGGTTATTGTATTGACCATCTCGAAGTAATGATTCAGGCTCCATTGGTTGTCCATTTGGTCCCATCGGCCTTTCATATATTCTTGTCAACGCCATGTTCATGGGATCAGGTTCAAACACCTCTGGAGCATCGTAGTCATACTCATCCTCCACAATCATGTTGTGGAGGATGATGCAAGTCATCATAATACTCTGCAGCACCTCCTCATCTAACATCCTAGCAGCACCTCTAATAATTGCCCAATGAGCTTGCAAGATACCGAAACACATTTCCACATCTTTCCTGTAATATTCTTGAAAGGCAGCAAAGCCTTTTTCCTTCTCGGATTGGGGATTCAGAATTGTTTTCATGAATGTCGTCCACCTAGGATAAATTTCGTCAGCAAGGTAGTATACACCAGAGTATACGGTATTGTTGACTTGGTACGTGATCTGGGGGGAATGACTTCGCAATACCTCGTCGAACACCGGGGATTGACCAAGGACATTGAGGTCATTCTGAGATCCGGCAACCCCGAAGAAGGCATGCCAAACCGAACAGTTGAATGAAGCTATGGCCTCCAAAATTACTTTTTTGGCCCTTTCGATTCTCGTACTCTCCTTGCCAAGCAGTAGGACAATTCTTCCACTGTCAGTGCATGCAATTGATGCTTCCAATCATTCCTGTGAAACCTCGAGCTCAGCTTTTTGGAGAAGCCTTTGCAGGTCCCTCAGCGTGGGTTTGCGAAGGTACTCTCTAGTGTACAAATTTTCCACTGCATCACAGAATCTCACCAAGCACTCTAGGACAGTTGATTTTCTCATCCTTGCAATCTCATCCACCTGCTCTGCAGATGCCCTATAAGAAAGCATCTGCAAAACAGCTGTAAGTTTTTGCTCCGGGAGAAGACCCAAAACTCCAACAACATCATACTTTTGAATGAAGTATGTGTCGTAATTACAAATATCATGCATGATTTTTTTGGAACAAATGTGGCTGCATTCTAAATCTCTCTCGAAACTTAGAAACATGATATAACAAATTTGGGATAAAGTAATCTTCCAAGAGATTCTTTCCCCGAGACTCTCTACATCTGTCCACATTCGGAGCACGACGACGGCGGTGTTGCCTTGATTGATTAAGCATACACACCGCTGCTGCAAGCATTTCTTCCTCTTCTTCATCGGCCTCCTGATCTTCAATAGCACGTTTGCACCGGATTTCTTCCTCTTCTTTCTGTTGCCTTTCCAACACCCTCCTCAAGTTTGACATTGAGAGTAGAATGTATTTTGTAAAATCTGAGAAATGAAGGAATAGATAAGAGATGGTATGAGAGGTATGAGTTGATGGTGTAGTTTTATAGAGGAATTCAGAAGATAGAGATGACACGTGGCACAATTTTAGAAGGTAAAAATCTTATCTGAAATATGATATTATAATTTTTAAAAAATATCTGAAAATCTTATCTGACATAGGACACGTGGCACATTTTTAGAGGGTGAAAATCTTATCTGAAATATGAGATTATAATTTTTTTTTTAATATCTGAAAATCTTATCTGACATGGGACACGTGGCACAATTTTAAAGGGTGAAAATCTTATATGAAATATGATATTATAATTTTTTTTAATGAATATCCGAAAATTTTATCTAGAATAAGACACGTGGCAACCGAGATTCTCATCCGAAAATCTTTTCTGAAAAATAATAGACACGTGACAATCAAAAATCTTATCTGAAAATTTAATTACAAAAGATTATAAAAATTAATGGTTTAAAGTATAAAAAAATAGAAAATAAAGTACAATAAATAGTATTTGCCTTCGCCTTAACTTTTTCGAGTGGAACTACAAATGGCAAGGCTGCCACTATTCACGTGAATAGTGGCAACGTTTGCCTTGCCTTAGCCTTAGTCCTTATGGGTGGAGATGCTCTTAGGCCACCTCCACCGCAGCCCAATTTGCCAGGGCAAGAGGCCCCCCCAGCGGGGTTTGGACCTCCAGCGCAGGAAAGAGAGCCCGGGCAAGCCTTGGGTCCCATCAGCCCGGGCAAGTCCAAAGGTAGATCTTGCCTGGGCTTCAGCCCGAAGGAGCGAGCGAAAAAAATAGAAAAAAATTCAAAATTTTTTTTTTAAAAAAAAAACCAAAAAATTATGGATGTTTTCCTTATAAATACATAACAATTTTATTCACTTTCCACACCAAAATCCTCATACAAACTCTTCTCCTTCTAATATTTGTAAATTGTAATCATTTTTTTTTCTTGCATTTGTAAATTGTTTATATTTTCTTCTATATTTATTTTTTTCTTGCATAATCATTTTATTTCTTGCATTTCTAAATTGTTTATATTTTGTTGCATATTTTTTTTTTTTTTTCTTGCCCTTGCCCTTGTCCTAGCCTTTTGGGGTGGAACCCTTGCTTTGCCTTTACCTTTGCCTTAGCCTTTTAGGGTGGACATGCTCTAATGACATGATAATCTTTAACTCTTATACTTCACTGTGGGCGTAAGTGAAATTTTGGAACTAGAAAAACCCATATGCTTTGTATTTCAAAATAAATTTTAGAAGTGAACCAATGAGGACGGCCATTCAAGCTATGTTCTTCCTGAGTTGCAAATCTACTTTGTTTTCCTCACTAAATTGTTAATGTGTATGCTTCTAGATGCTTGTTATTTTCAAGGTACGTATTTATTAAAAAATATGTATGTGTATCTTTGTAGAAAAACTTGCATAAAACGAAGATAACACTATTTTGCTATATCCGACCAATCACAAATTGTCATGTGGAAAAGTTATCACACATGACATACCGTGATTGGTCAAAAATAGTAAAATAATGTTATTCCCGTTTTATATAAGTGTTTCTCGTAACTTTGAAAAAAAAAATGGTCACATTCCTAGGAACACATTTATTAGGATGAAAACTTAATTAAGATGTTGAAGAGTAGAGGAAGAATGTCAGCTGGGGTAAATGGACACCAGATAAACATAGAATCTCCTTTTGAAAAATGATGAATTTCATGCAAACATCATTACATAGCATATCATGATGAGATGTTGTTGAATGATTGTTTTCAAACTTTTGTAGCCACTTTTGGCTCACTTTTTCTGAAAACCAAATTCCAGAAAATCCACCTCTTCTTCTTTTTTTATTTCTCAGTAGAACTAGAAGATGCCTTCTTGAAAATGTGAGGCTCTTTCCTGTTCCTTTTCCCTAGTACCTTTTAAGTTTTTAACTCTGCTGCAAAAGTAAACGTTGGTGCAAGAGATTAATCTATGGCAATGGGACCCCTTTAATTAGGTAGGAGGAGGAGGAGGAGGGGGCATTGTGATAAAAGAGTGCCTGCTATTCCAGCTATTTGTCTCGCCATGCATATGAGTATGACCGTCTCTAGAGATCTTAATGGGCACACTACCATCTAGTAGGGCACGTACTGTAGGTAGGTACAGTCTACAGATCATAACGGGTGAAAAATCAGACCTTTGCAGGGGAAAATGTTCAAAATATTTGATGATTTGATGAAGCTAAGGAGCTCATCGGCTATTGGAAAATTCCATCACCGGTGTGCCCTTTTCTTGCCAATATACAATCTTCAAATTGTCTCACATTGCACTCCGGACCCTTCAGATTTGGTCACATAGAGTTTTACTTCCGTTAGTGATTGATCATTCAAAAGATTATGAATTTGGCACTTCATCTCACACACTCCTCTACAATTCATATACGACAAGTGAATAAGGTAATTTAAATATAAGTTTAAAGTGCCAAAATCATCATCGGTGCTCAAACCCTTCAACATCAAGTGACGAATTTTGGATACTTAGTTTATTTTTCCCCCAAATAACAGCTACAGTCACTATCTAGTCCAAATAAACTCTATCATTGGAAACTTTCGTACTTGACGCTATCTAGTCCAAATAGGCAACTATATCTTTTGTGAAATAAAAGAAGCTTAATAAGATTTGTTGTTTGGTAACTGTAATGTCTTGATCTAAATCTAATCCCAAAATCCAAAATTGACCTAAACAATTCAAAAAGTAGGTTAAAGTAGAGATGCGAATGCATGGAAAGCTAGCTAGTAGTTAAACATATGAGCCCTAGTGAAATATGAAAACGAAAGTCTAAGATTCTAATTGGAGTGATGGGTCTAAAAAAATGAAAATCATTTTTTCTTGGATGGGATTTGTGTAGCCTCTCGTTAGACAAGTAATTTGGAGTCTTTTGCACTTAAAAGAGCGTCTCTCTTACTAAGTTAATAAGGATACGAAAGTTGCTTGAACATGTTTTGCTTGTCGCTTGGAGAGTGAATGTTTGAGACATCGAATGTCTTCTAATTAATGTTCAATCCACATCTCCATTCAGCCAAATTCACATATCTACACAGATGCTAGGACTTAAATTTATGACTTTTTCTGAAGGAACAATTGCTCCAAATTATTACACTAGTGGATCTTTTATCACATATGCATATTTAGTTTTCTTATTTGTAAAATTTTTGTTTTTTGGTTTTTGGGAACAAGTCCCATTGCTATCAGAACAGAGGCCCGGCATTTAAAATCAAAGTGGACCACAAATACTTGGTCTTAGATCACATAAAGCCTGTAGCCATGACCAAACATAATTTTGCTTTCGAACTATTTTGAATGGAAATTCAATAAAATAGCAAAGTTCCTAGCTGCTATTGAGAGGTAGATATTTTGAAAAAAAAAAGGTGGGGTGGTGGTCCAAACCTCAACAGTGTCAATGGAGGACATGACGACAATTAACAAGTGGTGATTGATAAATTGAGACAACACAACGTGCTTTGCGTCTCTTTGCTTTTGCTTGTGCAAACTTTGAGATTGTATTGGCTGCATGCAAACCAAATGCTGCATCAAACTCTTGTCTCAGACTGACATATGAAGAAAACATTCAATTTCAAATATATATATATATATATTTCTTTCTGGCAGGCAACTGAGATTTCAAAGATGCCTGATTGATTCAGACTACTTCCAACTTGGTCTAGAAAAATGGGTTTAGAATTAACTTACAAGCTTTTTCAAGCCCAAGCAAGTTGAAGTACCCAATACAAGAACCAGAGCCCACCCCAGGCAATTACCTAAATGCTGAAGCATTGGGTTTTTTCCTAATTTATTTAGCTGTATTTTTTTTAAAAAGGGGTTTGAGAAGATGAATAAATGCATTTTTGTATAGGAATGAGGTAGGTCGTGGCATCCATGATCATGATTGGAATAACCATGAATTGAAAGACATAATTGATTCCATTAGTAAAAGTAATTAAATGATGCAAACAATTAAAATCGCCTGCAATCAATTGCATATCACATGCACATAAAAATTCAAATCCATGGTGCAATAATTGCTTGAATTATTAAAAGCAAAATTAGTGGCTTGCCTGCCTTATGATGACCCGTTATGAATCTTATAGCTCCCTCAAAATAATTTTTTTAGAAAGAATAAGAAAACAAAACTAGCCCCCAAATGTCTGTTTTTGTTTACTAAATAAATATAAACAATGGTCTAAATTAACATAATTTAGGTGGAAGAAGATTTGAACTTCAATGTAAAAAGCAAACACACTGTCATGATCAACTGACTTAATCCACGTTTACTGCACAAACGTTGATCGTGTATGATAAGAATCATAGTCTATTTTATTTTATTTTATTTTAGATAGTAACGTTTTGTGTATATTGTACGTTAACTCAATTATTGAGGGAGCCGCCTACGTGGAACAGGTGCCAACGTGCACCGCACAACACAACATTCTGAGTACGGCAGGCAGCCGTTGGAAGCTGTAGCACCACCACCACAGAGTTTTGACTGATTGGTGCCCACTGCGCTCTTGGCTTTAGACTTCTCAGCTTCACAGATCCCTGAGCCTCAAACTCAAAGCCCACAGCAAAGGCCAAATTCCAAAGTCCACCTTGGTTTAACGGTAAAACGGAATGATAACAAGTAGTTAAACCAACTGTTTAGTTTTTATCATATCTTTGTCATTCTTCTGTTTCTGGCTTTTCATTGTTCCTCCAATTTCCCTGCTGAGCTGCCAAGAAGACCCAGAGAGCTTTCCTCCCAGCCTCCCAGGTATTTCATCTAAGAACCCAGAAGCTGAATTTCCCTGAATTTTTTGTTTTCTTGTTCGTACCGAAATTTCTTGTGCAAACAATTTGGCATACTTGTTTTGGTTTCTTTACATATTTTGAACTCTTCATGCATTTTGGATTGCTCAATTCTGTAACTTTGTTGTTGAATTTGCTCGATCATTGGAAGTTTACTGGATCTATAGTATTTAGTGTAAGTCTCAAACTTCAAAACTCTTATGCTATAATGATAGTTCTGGAAGAATATCTTTAACCAATCAATTTTAGTTTCATTTTCAAAATTCAATGGTATATATATACATTCTAATATGTAGGCTTTTGCATAAGGAAGTTATATTCATTCTCTGATATGATTTGTTGCAAGTCATAGAGTAGAAGATGGGAAGTATTTCTTGTGGTGTTATCTAGCATCTGACAGTCAGGAAGGTTCATTATTTGTTGCTTGACAATTGTGCTTACCAATGTTAGGAGGAGTTGGGTTGCTGAAGGGAATGGTTAATCTAATTTCGTCGACTGTATGAAAAGGTTTGGCTGCTAATTAGGCATTAATGGACTGACATTCTGAATGTCTTTCCCCACCTAACGTAGGGACGGACATCAATGGTGGTGACAGTATTTCATCTTTAGTTTACACTGAATGTCAAATGTTTGCTTGTTAGTTGTTACTTATCCTCAATTAGTCTAATCTGGTGGCAATAGTATGGATATTGTTTATATGTAGCAATCACTGTATTGTGGGGGGCCGTTCGTAGAATTTCTTGTTCTGACTTAAGTTTTCCTTTCGCAGTCTCATCCCTCTCTTTTGGAACTTTGTAGAGACTCAGATAGAAGAGATCAGGGCAAAGCCTTTTATTTTCCTTCCAGCAGGTATGGAAGACCATGCTGTTTGTGATAATACTGTTGCCAGTCCTGAGGTTGAGATAAACTACCTAAATCAACGGGTGCAATCTAATGAATCCGGCATGCAAGAGTTAGAGAGTTACTTGAAAGTTTTAACAAAGCTGGACTTGGACTTGGCATATTCTTCTGAGAAGTTGGCAAATCTCCATGTACCTCTTATATACCTGTTGGCTCAGCAGAATGATCTCGAGGCAATGGCCACCGTCAATAACTATATTCTCACGGACTTTATTGAGAAAGTATTGGTATTCAATTTCCTATCTAGCATTCTAGATTCTGAGGTAAGAGAGCTAGACAATTTCATGGATGCTCTCCAAGCAGGAATTATTGATGCCCGTAAAAAAATATCTTCGTGCAGACACTTGGGAAAACTGTATTCTATAATGGAAGGAAAGTTAAATGATTCTGAAGAATCACTAAAGCAATCTCAAGATCAGATTTCAGAGCTTAAGATGCAGTCAGAAAGGTTTCAGAGAACCGTTCTAGCTTTTGCCCATGAGAATTGTAAGTTAAAGTTTTCTGTCTAGTTAGGAGATTTTTTTAATTCAAATAGCGAAGATGCATTTTTTACTTGGTTATTATTTACTTGAGGCATACATGTCAACAGGGAAAACTGACATTGCCATGGATTTATCAGAAAATGCTCAACAGGCGAATAAAAACGCAAAGTCAAATTTAAAGATGCCTAGACAACAAAGACATAATCTCTGGATGCTGGAGAAATCACTTTCAAGAGAGCTATATCTTGAGAAGAAATTAACTGAATCAAGACAAAATGAAGAAGAACTTAAATTAAAGCTACATCATACAGAACAGGTAGCATTTCACATGGAAGAAGCAGCAGAAGTTGTTTGGGGAAGATTTTTAGAGGCAGAGAATGCTGCTGAGGTGCTCCAGGGGATTTCAAAGGAATTGTTAGGTCGACTGCAGCTTATTCATTTTAATCTAAATGGTTCAATTCAACGAGAAAGCGAGCTAAAATTCAAACTTCAAGCTAGTTTAGAAGAGCTGAAAGCAAAAGATACTGCTTTGCAGAAGCTCAAGAATGTTCATGAAGAGAACATTAAGAAAGATGTTGAACTGTCTGCTTTGAGAGAAAAGGTGGTGTTCCTTGAGAAACAGCTGAAAGAATCAGAGCTCCAGCTGAAGAGTGCAAATTCCACCAATGAATCAAGTCAAGAGAAACTTGGGGAAATGGAAAGGTTAGTTGAGTCTTTGAAAGAAAACATCTTTACAACAGAAGTTAAGGCTGAGAGTGCAGAACTTAAGGTTGCGGAATTAACAGGAACGAATGTGGAACTCACTGAAGAGATGAGTTTTCTAAAAGGAAGTGCTAGTAACACAGAAAAAAAGGTTGGCAGTCTAGAAAAACAGTTGAGGGAAGTAGAGATCCAATTACAGCATGCAAAAGCATCCTCTGAAGCAAGTCAAGAGCAGCAGAATATGCTATATGCTGCAATTTGGGATATGGAAACTTTAATTGAAGATCTAAAATCAAAGGTTTCAAAAGCTGAAAATAAGACAGAAAGTACAGAGGAGCAGTGTGTTGTGTTATCTGAAACTAACTCAGAACTAAATGCGGAAATAACTGTTCTAAGGGATAGAGTGGAATACTTGGAATCGTCTTTGGATCAGGCTAACAATGCAAAATTTGCAAATGCAGAAGAACTCAATAACAGAATCAAGTTCATGATGGATATGGCAGTGCAACTAGCCATAGAACGGGAGCGCATCCAAAAGCAGGTATATCTTGGAACTTCTCTCTCTCTCTCTCTCTCTTTCTTTCTCTCTCTCTCCACTCACTGTCCTGTGGACGTTATTTTGTTGATGGCGCTGCCATAGAAAGTGGTGGCTACTGTTATGTTCAACGGTGGAAATCAAAATAGTTGCTTGTCATAAATAAGCAAAACTTAGCAATGTGATGGCCCACTTTTTCGCTGAAGGCCACAATTCAAATGGAAAATCTGTTGCGTTATATATATAAGAAAAGTCACTGAATTTCCATGGAACAAACACTCAAGGTGTCTGAGTTCTTTGTGGCTTTATAACTTTCTTTCCCTGCTTTTAAGGAAAAAGGATGAGTAAACTGATATGTAGCCAATTATGGAAAAAGAATCCTTTCACTACAGTTTCTTCTGTGCAGGTGCATGTCTTAATGATGGAGAAAAAACTGCTGGTGGAGAAGCTATGGAACACCAATAAGGATGCAACTGAGTGCAACAATGAAGACAGTGAAAACAAAGAGCTTCCATTTTCCAAGAATAATTTTTTGAATACTACTTCTATGAAGACATCCACGGAAGCTATTGCAGATTCCTTAGATAAAAGTTTCCAGGCAGGTATTCCCTTTGGATCTTTCTTATTATGATAAGTGAAGAAATGGTGTTTGTTTTCCTTTTAAAATCATAGAACTACATAATGTACTCAAAGACTGTGTTTGCTGAGATTTGCCCTTTGTATATCTTCATGATTTGTTTGTTGATTCTGGATCTTTCTTCTCATAAATTCTCCTATATTCAATGTGTCAGGTGGATGAACCATCAGAAGAGGCACCTGAGTGTGATACTGATGCAGGGGCTTCCAGTTCTGCTAGCAGCATGGTTTCAGAACCTGAGACTTCCCGAGAGGTAAAGGCCAGGTGCCTGAGCCTAAAGTATGTTTCCATAATAGTCTTTGTATTTTCAGTGTCAGCTATGTATTTGCTTAACTAGGAAGGAACCTTTCCTCTTTGACGAATTGTGATAGATAACTTTCCTCACACATTTAACATCACGAGGAGGAGCCTTTCATGTTGGTGACATGACATATTGTTCCATGATTTTTTTTTTCCCTGAAGCTCTAAATTGAGCTAGATGTCTTCTTGAATAGTTTTTTTAGGTTCTGCAGAATGAAATGTTGTATAAGCAGGAAGCACATAGTAAAAAGAAGGGCAGTTATGCTTTTCATTATTGTATAGAGCACCCCAGTAAACATGAGATTTCCTGTTAAATATCACATCATATTGTTCGACAAATCATTCGTTTAGTGTATGTATAGGTTGGCAATCAGAATTAAGAAGTAGTAACCTTTAATCTTGTTATGACTAAGTCTTAGAAGCAAAGCAAAATGCAATAAGAATAATGCCATTGAAACAAAAAGGTGTTTACTTTTATTATAATTCAAGTCAGGCATAGGCTCCGGTAAAACAGAAACCCAGATATGGACATAGTATATAACATATCTACACCTTTATTCAAGGCAATTGATTTGGTTCACAATTGGCTTCAACTTGGAGCTTGGGAGGAGGGTTTCCCCCATCGCATATGCAGTCACCGTTGATGCAGCGCGAGGGAAATCCTTGGCATACCTTACTGCAGTCTATCATACGAGGACAACGAAGCTTTCCCCTTGCTTCAGCTCCTGGCACCTTCCCCACTGCCACTGCAGCCAATAGAAGGAGGAGGGCCAATGAAGCAAACTTGAAGGATGGTTTCTTATCCATGTTGTTGTTGACACTCTTGTTTGTTGTTGTGATATGTTTTGGTTTCCAGTATGCAAAAGTAGGCTCATCTCCCACTCCATTTTATAGGAGAGGATATAAATATTAAGAGAAAAGAAAACTAAAAGGGAAGATACTCCTTCCATATTAAATTACATCACGAGGAAGAATCATTTCTTCTCTCTCTAATATTACGGCAAGATATTAGTGTGTATTGATGGCACTCCAATCCAACCCATCATTTTCACGCTGCCATTTTCTTCAATTATTCCTCTTTTAACTTTAACTGATAACAATTCCCTAAAAAATACAAAAACTTTATCCAATAACAAATATATTAATGAATCACCAAAAATGAAAGATAACAATAATAATACTAAAAAGGAAACAAGATTAATAACAATGAAACAAGGAAATTGTAGATGTGTGTTAAACCAGTTGACCAAGGCACCTTGCACCCGAACTCGAACTCCTCTTCATACGTTGGAATAATTTAAAATATCCCTCTTTTTTCAGAGCATTTGCTTGTTTCGTGACCTCCATAAACGACATGTCGCTTTTCGGGCGAAATTGATGATGACCATTGACCCAGTCAGCCAGTGCCCATTCCTTTACGTCTCATCGTTCGACACGTGTTAACAAAATTCCAAATCGTTCCAAACCCTAATCCCAAGCCCCCTATAAAATTCTCTCTTTGGCCTTCACCTGATTTCACTCACGATAAACTGATGGATACCAAGCTTATCGTTACGGATGTGTATCCTTTACTTCCTTGATCTTTTTCTGTAATTATTGTATGGATTGTACTGGGATTTTCATTATCAAGTATTATTTTGGAATTATTTCATTGTAATGCACCAGTTAGCCCCCTGCTTCTTGGAAATATAGTCGCAGGGAAATTTCGAGCAAAGGGTCGGTGCAAAATTGAAACTTTGGCATCAGTTGTGCAGTGAATTAGAGTGCTTTCTCTTGCACAACTAAGTTTTGCCCAAAAGCAGGAAAGTTCAAAAATTGAAGAATGGCAAAGCAAAATGATGAAACTAGAATTGTTTATATCTGAATTTGATGTAGAACCTCATATCATGCCTTCAAAGTTCTCTGATTGCTTTGCTATATCTAAAATTAATAGTTTGTATGTCTCTGTGTGCAAGATGATGAGATTTGTATTACTGAATTTGATGTGGAATCCCATACCAAACTGGTCTTCAAAGTTCTCTGATTGCTCAAGTTGCCATGTAGTATATGTGATTGTGTTTGATTGGCAAGCTTGCTAAAAGGGTTTATTTTCTCTGGTTTAGTTTTCAAAGTTTTGAAGTATCTTCTTCTTAAATGTGTGTGCATGAGTTGATTTTCATCTTTGCTGGCTGGCTGATGAGAGCAGTTGAAGTGAATATGAGCACCAAAATTCCTAGTCTGTCATGTATTTGTATTTCAGATTGTACGAGCATGGTGCTACATTGGAGGTATCTCTTTGCTTGTTCATTGCAACTTCTCTTGTATTCTCATGTGATAGTTGAAGCAGAGCTAAGGAGACAACTAAATGATGAATTTGACATTTTTTTATATATATACTAATAATACAAGTCTTGATCTGACAGTGTATTTCTTGATTCAAATGCCAGAAACATTAGTTTTGTACTGAGAGGATTGTTGGCTGTTCCATGTGTGGCATATAATACAAAGTCATCGTTCTTTGTTTCTTTCGTGCCTTAAATTTCAAGCGATGGTTGCCTCACTCTGTATCTTGCGAAATTTGACAACGTGTAAGAATGATAAATGAGGATGACACCAACTGCTCCTTCAATGCTGTACAATGCAATGCGTAATAACAGAGCAAGTATGCCTGAAATTTAACTCTTCCAATATGTTCAACATCTACGCTTTAATTTTCTCCACACAAAAAAAACATCTAGGCTCAAGGAAATGGAGAGGCAACCCAAACATCTGTTTGATGGCAATACCAATGTTGTGATTTTGGGTCGAGAGTGTTGTGGGTGAGGATGGAATTTGGGATTTGCCTTTGAAAAAATTACAAGGCGAAAAAAACAACAAAGAAGGTGGCCGAAAAATTAACGAAGAAGGTGGCTTTCGGGTACGATCGCGTGAACCAAGTGGCGTTTAGAGAGAGAGAGAGAGAGAGAGAGAGAGAGAGAATCAACTGAATTCAAAAACCAAAAACTTGGAATTTGAACACTTTTGCTGGCGTGGGTGGTGGCTAGGTGGTGGTTGTCCTTTGGAGCTGGCCTGGGGGAAGGGGCTGTGTGCGGTGGTGAGTAGTTAGGTAGGGTGCGGATGTGGGAGGGGGCCTGGGCAATGGCGTGGGGTAATGGGAGGAGAGATGTTTCCTTTTCTTTTCTTTTCTTTTCTTTTTTGTTGCTTATCAAATTATGTTTTAGGTCTTTTATTATTTTATTATTTTTAAAATATTTAAATATTTTCTTACTTTTTAATTGATATTCTAATCCACCTAAGCAAAAAAAAATTGGCGCCACATTAGCAACTAATGAAAATTTTAATGGTATAGCTAACGGTGGAGACATATTGCAAAAATTTTACAAATATTGGGAACTTTATTGTTAAAAATTTTACAAATTTTAAGAATAAAGTACTGGGAGTGCAGGAGCAAACATGCTTTAAAAGTGAAAATTCAAGGTGCTATATTGAAATTTACCCAAAAAAAAAGAAAGAACTAATGTAATCAATTACTAATAAGAACTTGATAACTTTCCAAAAATATTGAAAGCGCTTTTTGACAACTAAAAGTGCTTTTGACAGTGTTTGGCAGAAAAGTTTAGAAGGGTTTCTGGGTCATAGAACGCTTTCTAGAAAAACACTTGCCATGTACTTCTTTAAGAAGCACTTCGATTTTTTTATGAAAATTTACGTATTATACACATAATTATCACATATTATTGAATAAAAATAATATATATTTAAAAATATAAATAATTTATATTAAAATATAATAGTGGCAGAACTTTTAAGTTGTACTGTGCCAAAATTTTGCTGAATAAAACATGTACGTATTTTATTCGTATTTTTTCATGTTCCGTATTTTATTAACTATGAATGAATGTGAAAGGCTAAGATTATTTCTTACTTGTTATAACAAAAAAGCAAGATGGTGATTTTGAAACTAGCAAATTAACATCTATAAATAGTCTAGCCGCACTGCTATACTCGGTTTTAATTATTATTTTTTTCAAAAAATCGTACAGCTGTGCGCCTATACCCAGATTTTTAAATTGTTTTAAAAAATAGTCTAGCCGTTCGGCGATACCAGGTTTTTTCCCTACTTTTTTATAAAAATGGTACAGCCGCTTGTCTTTACATTTTTTACACGTGGCGCCAAGCCGATGGGGGGGTCTTCTATATCACGTATAGCCGCCCGGCTATACTCGGTTTTTAAATTTATTTTTTAATAAATAGTATAGCCGAGCGGCTTTACCTTTTTGACACATGGCGCCCAACACTAGCCGATCCTTTTTATATAAATAGTATAGCCATACAACAATACTATTTTTATATAAAAAAAAATTAAAAAGGGGCAATTTTTCTTTTTTTATTTTTTTAAAAAATATACATTTATTTTTTTGCCAACTTCTTTAATTTAAGATATGTAATTAAGTAATATCTTAGCCTTTTTGAATTACATTAATTAGTAATTATGTTTTAATTATTATTTCTTTAGTGAATATTTAAATATGTTAAAGACAATTAAATTTCTTTAAAGCCACTCTTTATATATATAGTGAGATCCTATTTTTGCCCGATTTTCGTTTATCAATAAGAGTTGTTTAGACCATTATTCATTATTATTATGCCATTACTAGAGTCTTTATTATCCCCTTTTCCAGAGTTATTATTCGTATAAAGATTTTAGCACTTTCACGTTTAATAATGCATTATACATGTTCGTACGTATTTTTCAATAATATATCCGTGTTCTGCAAACATCTTAAAGACTCGTTAAAGTTCACGTTAAAAAAAAAATAAACATACAATACTTGTATTATATAGGTATGTATGTATTTTTCATGTTTAATGCACATATTTTTTTTTACAAAAATTTCATTAAGACATACACAATTCATGTATTATACACATAATTTTCACATATTATTGAATAATTTATATTAAAATATAATATGGTGGCTGAACTTTTAAATTGTAATGTGCCAAAATTTTTCCAAATAAAACACGTACGTATTTTATTCTTTTTTTTTTCCATTTCGTATTTTGCTAACTATGAACGAATGTGAGAGACTAAGATTATATCTTACTTGTTGTAACAAAAATGCAAGATGGTGATTTTGAAACTAGCAAATTAATATCTATAAATAGGATAGCTGCGAGGCTGTACTCCGTTTTAATAAAAAACAATTCAAAAAATAGTACAGCCGCCCGGCTATACTCGGATTTTATTTTATTTTTTAAAAAATCGTATAGCCGATCGGCTGTTCTCGGTTT